TGTGCTGTGGGGCCCAGCCCTGTCAGGATGAGTGCTGTGGGCCCCAGCTCCACATTCCTGGAGCAGCTCCTGCTCTGTCACCACTGCTTATCCTCCCCTTCCGCCAATTCAGCGAGCTTGTCCCTGCTGCCTGACTCCAGAGACCTGGGAAAGAAGCTTCCAGCAGCTGTTTGGCTGCAAATCTCCTTAGGAAGGGGACTTGTGGAGATTCTGAGAGTCTCCTCTCTCCCTGGGAAGTGATCTGTTCTCCCTGCTGATATGGGAATAGCGGGAGCTCGCAGTCATTCCCTGGCAGCTTTCCCACGGCTTCCTTTATTTCTGTCATATTGTTTTGGCTTGTCTTTTTTCTGGGTGAGACCTCCCAGGCCCCAGATCTCCTCCCCTGCCACGTCACCCACTGGGGCTGGTTCATCTCCCCTGCAATGGACAGGGGTGAGGCATCCCAGATCCTGGGCTCAGCTTTAGGCCCCTCAAGGCAAGAGAGCCTGTGGAGGGCTGGAGCATGTCCAGGGAGGGGAATGGAGCTGGGGAAGGGGCTGAGGGAGCTCAGCCTGGAGAAACGGAGGCTCAGGGGACCTTGTGGCTCTGCACAGCTGGTGACAGGAGGGGACAGCCGGGGGTTTGGGCTCTGCTCGCAGGGAACAGGGACAGGACAGGAGGAATCAGCCTCAAACTGTACCAGGGGAGGTTCACATTGGATATTGGGAAAATCACTTCCTCGGCAGGGCTGTCCAGCCCTGACACAGCTGCCCAGGCCAGGGGTGGAGTCCCATCCCTGGAGGTATTTCACAGCTGTGTGGGTGTGACACTCGGGGACATGGATTAATGGTGCCCTTGGCTCTGCTGGGGTGCAGTTGCACTCAGTGCTCTCAGAGGGATTTTCCAGCCTCCTTGTTTTCTGTGACTCTGCCCATGGACTGAAGGAATCTGCACATCCATGAGGGGAAGGGCAGGGAGCGTAGTGACACCTTGGCTGAGCATGCCAGCACCTGGCACAGTGCCACCCCTCACTTCCTCCTCCCGTCCTGGAACACCCCTGCTGGTGGAGGGGGGCCGCCCTCGGGATGCATGGTCCCCCCAAAGCTGGGGGGTTCCCTGAGNATGAAAATCTCTCACCTGAAGGTGCAGGGGCTGTGTGGGGCCTTGGGAGCAGCTCTGCCTTAGCCTTGCTCGGGCTGCTTTCCCAGCCTGATCCTGTACCTGGGCTAGTCCAGCTGTGCACAAGGCAGCCTCAGGCTGCACATGAGGCTGCTGATGGGCAGTAGGTAATACAGGGGGACAGAAGATGGACTTTTCTGGATTTTGGACTGATTCACTCTATACCCCCTTCCTGTGCCTCAGTTTTCCCATCCCTAGAACAACAGCGGCAATGCTGAGCTGCTCCCAAGTGTTACTTTACAGCTGTGAGAAGCTGTGGTTCCAAAGCACAGAAACACCCTCCAGGCACTTTGGGATAAGTCTTCCAGGCACTTTTATCCCTTTCCAGGCACTTTTATCCCCTTCCAGGGGGCCCTGAGGCAGCAGGAGAAGGTTATGGAGCCGTGCTGTGCCTGTGTGCTGCCAAGACCCCACTGGAGTCCCAGCATCACCAGGGGCACTGGGGCTCCCAGCAGAGCACAAAGCCCTCCCAAATCCTGTCCCACATTCCCCTTGTGCTCCTGGCTTGGATTGAACAGGAAACCTGTTGTTTGTCAATCCAGCAATCCACGAAAATGCCTTCATCGTGTTCATCACGTCGGCCCTGGGCCACATGCTGCTCACCTGCATCCTCTGGAGAATGACTAAGAAACACACAGTAAGTCCCGAGGTACAGACACTTTCCTTTCTTCTCTCTGTGCTGGGAGCTGGGAGGGGGCTTTGGGCTGGCACTGAAGGGCTTTGGCTGTCCTTGCTTGTGAAGGTGCTAGAGGAGCCAACAGCAGCAGGTGAAATGGAAGAACTCACCAAAATCTATTTAACAAAGCAAAACGGGAAGGAAGCTTTTTATTTCCTGTTTTCTGGTTTTATCATAGAACCACAGAATGGTTTGGGTGGGAAGGGCCCTCAGAGCCCACCCAGTTCCACCCCTGCCATGGCAGGGACACCTTCCACTGTGCCAGGCTGCTCCAGCCCCAGTGTCCAACCTGGCCTTGGATGGGCACTGCCAGGGATGCAGGGGCAGCCCCAGCTGCTCTGGGCACCCTGTGCCAGGGCCTGCCCACCCTGCCAGGGAAGGATTTCCTCCCAGTATCTGATTAAGTTTTGATTGAGAGATCATATTGGAAACCACTCAGTATCCCTGTGGATTGGGATTGCTCATCCCTTCTCCATGCCTGTTTCTAAACTGAATTTGGCTTCCCTGTGCTGGGCATTGCTGGCCCTGCAAGCCGGGAGCAGCGGGCAGCAGGAGCTGTTCTCCCTTTGCTCCAGAATGACTGTGAGCAGGCTGGCTCTGGCTCCTTTTCTGGGGAAGGGTCAGGGGGTGCAGGGGCTGCCTGTGGGGTCAGCAGGTCTGGGGGAGGATCCAGCCAGGGACTCCTGGTCCCATTGCCTGGATGCAGCTTCTGTGCTGGTTTGTGGTGTGAGTCCTGGGCCTTGGGCAGGACATCCAACTTGGTCCTGGATTTTGGGGCAGGTGGGTAGGACATCCAGCTTGGTCCTGCATTATGGGGCAGGTGGGCAGGACATCCAGCTTGGTCCTGGACTGTGGGCACTGGCAGCCATGGGCAGGGCAGGACATCCAGGACACGTGAGGAGTGAGGTGCCAGGACCTGCTTCTGTACACTTCCCTTCACCTGTGGATCTGAACTGCCTGGATTTGTCTGTCCTTTCCCCTCAGGATACTTCTCCCTAGCTGATCCCAGTCCAGCCCTCATGGTCCCAGTGTTAAATGGGGAGGGGTCCTGCGGTTCTGTTGCCCCAGGAAGGTGACACTTTGTAGAGCAGAGTCCCTAGGAGATGTGTTCCTGTGTCCCAGGCTGGGAAGATGCCAAGGGCTGGACAAGCTTCTCCAAAGGGACTGTGAGCAGGGCTGCAGGGCAGGTGCTCTGCCTGGGTCTGTGTCCCAGCAGGATGAGTGCTGTGGGGCTGAGCTCTGCAGTCC